CTACATTCCCTAGTGTAGTTTACAGACACACAATTTGTTTTACAGAAACACACACTCCATGTAGTTTACAGATCCACGTATACTTTCAGTGTGATTTACACACACACACACAGACAGACAGACAATGTATCATACAATTACACACACACACACTATCACTAAAAACTATTTACATAAACACACTGACAGTATGGGCAGAGCAGGGAACGTACAACTGAAAAGAATGTAAAAAACAGCCCAGCACTGACTTTCAACAACCCAGCAATTTTCTCCCCAGTGATGCCCAAGAGCAGGCCCGGACTGGCCATCGGGCATACCGGGCAAATGCCCGGTGGGCCGCGATGGCTGTGGGGCCGAGGCCGGCAGGGAGATCACAGGATCTCCCCGGCCGGCCCCTGCAGGGCCAGCGCTATCCGAGCGCCGGCCCTGCATAGTGCCTCCATGGGCCGGTGGGGAGATCACAGATCTCCCTCACCGGCCCACAGACAGGGAAATGCGGCCGCCGGCTGGGTGAGTGAGGGAGGAAAGAGGACCCGGCGGAGCTCTAACAAGCAGCTCCGCCGGGTCCTCTCGCGAGATTCTGAGCGTTGCCGCGGCAACGCTCAGATCTCGCGAGAGTGAACTCTAACCTGCAGGTTAGAGTTCACTCTCACCACTGGACCACCAGGGAAGGCAGCATGGCTCCCCCTCCCAGGCAGAACGGAATCTCCTCCTCCTCCCCCTCCCAGGATAAAGGTAAGAAGGGAGGGGGGAGGGGGGGGATATAATTTTTTTTTATTAGTAAAAAATATATATTTAAATAAAAAATACATTCACTCACACATACAGCCTCCAGACACAGCACCCCTCAGACACACACAGCACCCCCAGACACAGCACCCCCCATACACACACAGCACCCCCAGACAGCAGACACAGCCCCCAGACACACACAGCCCCCAGACACAGCACCCCCCAGACACACCCCAGCACCCCCAGACACACACAGCACCCAGACACACACTGCACCCAGACACACACACAGTACCCCCAGACACACAGAGCACCCCCAGACACACAGAGCACCCCTAGACACACAGCACCCAGACTCACACAGCACCCCAGACACACACTGCACCCAGACACACACTGCACCCAGACACACACACAGCACCCCCAGGCACACAGAGCACCCCCAGACTCACACAGCACCCCAGACTCACACAGCACCCCAGACACATACAGCACCCCAGACACACACAGCACCCCAGACACACACAGCACCCCAGACACACACACAGAACCCCCCAGACACACACAGCACCCCCAGACACAGCCCCCAGACACCGCACCACCCAGACACACACTGCACCCAGACACACACTGCACCCCCAGACACACACAGCACACAGAATGTGACAGCAGATAAAAACACCCTCACACACAGCACCCCTCTTACATACACACACTGCGCCCTTCACACATACAATAAGTCCAAATATATATATATATACATACACACACACACACACACACTACAGCACCCCTCACACTGCACCACTACACACATTACGCTCCAGATACACACTAGATCCCTTACCCTATATGCACTCTTAATCCTCTACACACACACACACACACACACAAACTGGGTCATTTGCACAGTAGATCTCCTACACACACACACACTACATTCCTTGTCAGCAAACACATACAACATTCTCTAAACACACTCTCTCTGCAATCCCTACACACACTACGTCACCTATACACACACACTCGCTGCATCCCCTATAAAACTATGCCCCCTATACACACACTCTCTACAGCCCCTAGCCACACATATTACACCACAAACACAAATTATATTGACCTATTTATACAATACCACACCACACTCTACACCCACGCAATCCCACAAGCAGGCTCCAAACATATGCACCATGCACTTTCCTGGCCCTTTTGTCCTCTGGTATCCCACTTGTGGAGACACCAGAGACAATTTAAAAGCAAACACAGCGCAAGCATGTTATTAAATTTGCTTGCGCTGCGCAGAACAAATTCAGGGCCTTTTTCTAATGCCAGAGCTCTTCAGCGGGGCTCTGGGCATTGAACCAACATGCTCACTTTGAGAGGGGGCGTGCTTGTCATTAGTGATGACAAAACACATACTCTCTGGCCCCGCCCCCTTCTTAGGGGGCCGCTCTGATTGAAAAATGCCCGGGCCTAATTTTTTTCCCAGTCCGGCCCTGCCCAAGAGCCTCTCATTATTGGCAATATTTTAGAGGTAAAGAGGCTGTGATCAGCAGCACTTTGAACAAGACAAAGTAGAACAGAGCTAGCTGTGCAGGGAGCTTCAGCCAGTATCAAAGGCCAGTTTTCCTTTGTTAGTGCTTGCCAACTTCCTCCTGTAGGTGGAAGTGGTGGAGACAGGAACATATGCAAAAGCACACACTTCTCCCTGCTACACATTGGATGCTGCATTCACGGAAATAAAACCGTGAGTTGTTTCTCACAGCAGAACACTGCAAACATGTTCTGTTTCTATAGGTGAGGTATGGCTGTTGCATTGTTGGGAAATTAATTTGTGGATACAGCAGTATGCATTCAAATGCGATGACCAGACCCAAGTTAGACAAGTTCCCATTAGTCAGCACTGGTGGTGATTACTGCTAAATAACATCTCAGGAGCAATCTAGCTCCAGCTCAGAATTTTTTAAAGGGACACTTTAAGCACCATTACAACTTTAACTCTATATAGTGGTTTTGGTGAACAGATCATGCCCCTGCAGTCTCAGTGCTTAGTTGTCTGCCATTTAGGAGTTAAATAACTTTGTTTATGCAGCCCTGGCCACACCCTCCTTGCCTGTGACTTACACAGCTCTCTCTACACACTTCCTGTAAAGTGAGATCTAATTTTGAAACTTCATTATTGCAAAGTGTGTATAATTTTTAATTTCTTATCTCATGCACAGTTAATAGCCACCTTGAGCCTGCAGGAGCCTCCATTGTGAGTAAAGTTTAATTAACAGAGCAGAGATTGGAATGTTTAAAGTAAATATATACTATTCTGTGAAAATCTAATTGAAAATGAAACCATTTTTTTTTTTTTTATGCAGGTTGTCACAGTCACGGGAGGTGTGGCTTGTGCTGCATGGACAGACCAAAAGTGAGACTGCAGGGAATATGATTTATTTGCCAAAACTGCTTCATCAAGCTGAAGTTGCTTTGGTGCTTAGATTATTACTTTAAAACACTCATACTGAGAAATTACAGTAGCTATAATATAAAATTATTTAACCACAACATATACATGAAATATTCACATACAGTGGTGCTTGTTTGCATTTGCCATAAGATTACTGTCAATAATCATATATTTAGCCTTTCATTTGCTGTCTTATTAAAATATAAATTATACTGTTTTCCCAGCATGATCAGCATTCTGGCTGTACCAAGACATGATAACATTTTATATATATTGTTTATATAGAGATCTGTGTTGTCAAATGACTGTTGTTTACTGCTTTATTTTTGGGGTAAATAAACTAACAGCTGTCCATCATATTATAAGACTTGCATATTCTGATAATCAGGACCAGAATTAGTTTCATCAGTAACATAGAAACATAGAAACATAGAATGTGACGGCAGATAAGAACCATTCGGCCCATCTAGTCTGCCCAATTTTCTAAATACTTTCATTAGTCCCTAGTCTTATCTTATAGTTAGGATAGCCTTATGCCTATCCCACGCATGCTTCAACTCCTTTACTGTGTTAACCTCTACCACTTCAGCTGGAAGGCTATTCCATGCATCCACTACCCTCTCAGTAAAGTAATACTTCCTGATATTATTTTAAACCTTTGTCCCTCTAATTTAAGACTATGTCCTCTTGTTGTGGTAGTTTTTCTTCTTTTAAATATAGTCTCATCCTTTACTGTGTTGATTCCCTTTATATATTTAAATGTTTCTATCATATCCCCCCTGTCTCGTCTTTCCTCCAAGCTATACATGTTAAGATCCTTAACCTTTCCTGGTAAGTTTTATCCCGCAATCCATGAACCAGTTTAGTAGCCCTTCTCTGAACCCTCTCTAAGGTATCAATATCCTTCTGAAGATACAGTCTCCAGTACTGTGTACAATACTCCAAGTGAGGTCTCACCAGTGTTCTGTACAATGGCATGAGCACTTCCCTCTTTCTAGACTGTAGTAGTAGTAGTAGTAGTAGTATATAACCTATAAGGTATTTAAATAAAGTAACAAAAAAATACTAATATATTTGTAACAACTTGGCAACACAACACTTTTTGGATTTCATGATCAAGATTGTTCATCTTTGTTGCCGAAAAAAAACAAGAAAAAAATATGTTAGAAACTAGACAAGTCATTCTGATTTCCTAAGTCAAGACCAAAATTTGAGTCATATTCATTAGAACCCAGACAGCTGCCCACAGTTGACGGATTACTGTAATAGTACTGCTTGCTTGAGTGCAATGGACCCCTCACAAGCATCTGAAACATTTTATATTACTTAATAAGTGAAGAACTAATGTGATATTAAAATTGATTAATGGGTCTTTAATATAAGGTAATGAATTTAATTTACGTATTTGTCTAAAAACGTTCAAGAATCAGTGCACTTGAATATGAATAGGACTTGACCTAACTATACATGTGTAACAATATGGACATCGCACTTATAGAACAGCAAGGTACAGTTTTGGATAAGTCAAATTCCTTATTGAAAAAGGTTTCTTAAATAAAATGAGTCATTAGTCTTCGTGGACTGCTGTGCCAAATATTTATGGCTTTGATGACCTGTATGTGGTTTTTCCTGCTTATACATAGTATTCCAGGTGACAATGTCATTGTAGAACATCGAGGAAAGCTCTGACCTACCAAAAAACAAGTTTGCAAGAAGATGTTCCTCGCTGGTGCAAAATCTTTACCGTGGAACATCCAAGGAATGACTTGAGATGACAGCCAAGTGAAAGCAATGCCCTGTTCACAAAGTCAGGTCATCGAGGCAGGCAGCTAGCGACAGCGTCCGCAATTCTAGGCACAGTCACATAGTTCACTGTGCAGTGGAGGAACGGACAAATCTGTTCGTGGTCTTTCAATACCTGGCTCAAGTGCTTCAGTTCGTCTGTAAGTTTCCCAATCTCTTTTTTTAGAGAAGAATTTTCCTGTTCAAGAGTTTCATATTCCTGTTAATGTAAAATAAAAAATAAAAAGATAAAAACTACAAGTGTCTACAGTACTCGATAAAGCATTAACTCAGCGTTCCAACCTAATGCTGGCTGAGAGTAATGAGAGATACAATTCAAACTAAATTAAGCACTGTGGAAAACAGATAAAATGGTTGTAGATTTTAGTTCAAAATACCTGAGCTGAAAACAAATTAAATAGATTTTTTCTTATTGTTTACTCTAGTCTAGTCCTAACATTTGCCCTTCTCAACAAATCCTGATGCAAAGAAAATGCTCGAGACATTTTGGTATCATAGTGTTAATGCAATACGTTAAATAGTGATTTTTTTTTTTACCCTTCACTTTCTTTGTGGTCAAAAGCACGGGTGCATTGCACATTTTACATTGCACGAAATTGAGACCGAAATATTTACGAATGTCTTTTGTGGATGCTACTGAATACCACTTCCTCGGCCTTCTGCTGCGGAGGAACTGGTAGAAGGTGCAGCAGGAAACCCATTACAATTCTTCACAGAGTCAGTTCCTAAATTAAGTCTTTAGTGAAATAAATGAAAGACTCTGCTCAAATCAGCTTGTCAGTAACGTGGGTCAATAAATAGGCAACTCATCAAGGTCCCAGTGCTTACTTCACAATGAGTGCACCTGAACATCACAGAAAGTATTTAATTAAGGGGCATGTGTTATTCTACAACTACCCAGGTGTCCTTGAACTACAACTCCCATGATTCTCAGTAACCCTGTATAGTTTTCACAGGCTGTACAGCAGCTACTAGGAATTCAGCAGAATTTCCAAAGCAACGGAAGGGCCACAGAAGTCAGGGAGTGAACAGCATGTAGCGAATCATTCTTTCTACGAACTGTTGCAGTTTCACTTTCGTCAGAAATTCTCACACAGCCAGTGAGAAGTCGCAGAACTCATAGTAGTTGTGGTTTGATTTGTGGAAGAGATAGTTTACATCTTTAGACCCAGGCAGACATCAGGCTTCCACAAAACCAAAGCCTTCTCACGTTTCATTCATTTGAAAACATTTAATCAAGGGGAGGGAACAATGACAAAAAGACTCATGCTGCAGACCCTACACTGGCAATGCTCGCTGGGTCGTCATCCATAGATACGTTGCACTACACAATCAAGATAAAGATCGCAGAAGGAAATCTTAGCAAGTGTACGGAAACAGATTTAGTTTTTTACAGTACAATCAGTGTTCTTCACTAAAGTGACAAGTGCAACAAATTTTCTAAGGGTATTGCACATGTAAGGCCAAAATAGCCAAACTGAGAACAGATCAGACTTGGAGAATTCTTCTCATTTGATTAGCTTGGCCTAAATTTTGAAGTCAATTCTCACTTTAATGAATAACATTGAGTGTGTTTACTTTAGAAGTTCGTATCTCCTGTTCTATTGATTGAAGTTTAATCACACACAATTATACACAATGTGCAACAATGGAAGTTTAAAAATTAGACCTCTTTTTCAAGAAGTGTGTTGGGAGGCTGCGTGAATCTCAGCTATGAAAAGTGTGGCTAGAGTTTCAATAAAAGTCCTAAACTCAGAGAATTGAGCAGTAAGACTGCATTGGCGCGACCTATACACCAAATCGTTTTATTTAGCTAGAGTTGGTTTTGTACTTAACCCTTTAAGCAGTAAGTTCTTCATATTTCCAAGATGAACTGTTTTCCATAAAGAAAAAAACTAATGCTGTAGATCTTTTTGATATAATATCAAAATTGGCGATAATGCCCCTAGCAATTTACAGTTTATTAGCTAGACTCATATACAAAAGAAAGTGCAAAGCGTTTTCTAATACAATGTTTTATTGCTATGTCTTGCAACAAATGTTTTTCAGTACAACCTACCATATACATGCTTGTACATGGTTTGTATGCACTACCAAAATAAAGAATTCAAAATTTTTTGCTGATAATGCAACTGTAGAGGTGATTATTGGCAGGCTGTAAAATGAGTTTTTTGTGGACTTGAAATTCATTTTTCAATCGGTGTTAATAGAAACCTGGAATCTGTAGAGCTGCAGACATTTTACACTACCTGATTATAATTGAGATTCCGTTTGATCACACAAAACACTTTGTAAGCATTTTTTCTAAAATTGTTAAAACAAAAAAACAAATGTGATCATGGCAAACACTTCATTCAATTCCTCCAGCTTAAAGGGAAACCAAAGTGTCAGGAAAACAAAGTTGTTTTTCTGGCATTATAGATCTTTAGAGTATTCTATACAGAATTCTGTCTATGTGCTGTTTGGTTGTATTTACAAATCGCATGCAAATGCATTTACCTCGTGTAGTTTGTCTGCTTTCTGTGTCTGTTTCTTGCGACTTCTCTGAGCTGCAACTCTGTTTTTTTCCCTCCTCCGTACCCTTCTGTCACTTATATCTGAGCCCTGGAAAAGAGAATACCTGTGAGATCGTAGGAAATTCATGCAATGTGGGATAGCTGCTATACAAGATTAGCAGTACAATCGATTAATTGGATTGAAAAAATGGAAGCTAGGTCGATGCTTTAGATAAAAATGCTTAAATAAAAACTAGGGTATTTGTTTCTGTTGTTAAACCATTTAAAAGACTAGTAATGAGCAGGAATGTAAAAGCATGTATCTGTTTTAAAATGATCTTTTTAGGATTTTTAATGTCTATCGCTTGTCCATAGGAGCCATAGGCAGGGCCCCACAAGCGTATATGTGGGAATAATTTTATTTGCAATTGGTTACAAACACTAAAATTATTTTTCTGTGTGCAGGGGGATAGCCTAAAATATGGGGGGGAAGTAGATTGACATACTTCAGCCATTGTCTTTTTGTGCCAAAAAGTAAAATTATGTGCGGTGATGGTATACTGTTTGCGGAGTTTATTTATAATTAGTCCCTGGTAGCGACTAAGTTTTAAGGCTGTAAATAAAAATATTTCCAAATGTTTGTAGTATGAATTAGAGCAAAGAATAAATCAAGTTACAGTTTGCCGATAATGCAACACTTCTATCTGACATATTGTTAAGTACCCATCTTAAACAAAAGGAAGACTCCAATCACCATAACCACTACAGAGCGCTGTAAGGTGCCGGATATGCCCTGTAACACCCCCTCCTCCCCCATTGTAAGCAGACTAACCAACAGTTTGATTTCTTACCTGGGGTCTAAGACTGGCAGTGCAGGGCTTAGCTCACTGGCTGATGACAATCAACTGACACTCTAGTCCAGGGGTAGGCAACCTTCGGCACTCCAGATGTTGTGGACTACGTCCCCCAGCCGTAATGCTGCCACAGCATCAGAGGAAATGTAGTTGACAAGATCTGGAGTGCCGAAGGTTGCCTAGCTCTGCAGTCTAGGCCAGTGAGCTAGCCCTGCACTATGGGGACTAGAAATGGCTGAGGAGAGCTAACAGAATGTCCGAAATAGGAGCTTCCTTCTCTCACTGAACTGGAAGCAGACACCAAGATAAACCCCAGGTAAGAGGTCAGTCCGCTCTAAAACGGCTTGACTCCTTACAATTGGGGGCCAGGGCAGTACCACTAATACTCTTGCTTCCATACTGGTGTTACACTTCTCTAAGGCACATGTGCAGTGGACATGCACAAAATATGCTGAATGTGACTGGGTGATACAATGGCTCCCCCTCCTAGTTATGCAATTTACAAAAGCCATCAACAATCCAATAAGCTTTCTTGTAGGAAAAATAGTAAATCAGTAAAAAAAAACTGTGACATTACTATTTTACTTGTATTGCACTGCAGACTTATTTAACAACCAAACCGCAAAAATTACCCTCTGAAAGTCAGATTGAATTTAGCAGTTTCACATCACTATTGATCACTGCTAATCTACGTTTCTCTTTATCAGTTTCCCTAACAGAGTACTGCAAACTATTGCCTCAATTCTAATCTATAGAAAGTGTGACTTCCTGGCTTATCTTTGTCAAACACATCTTATTTTGCTAGCTACTCCCCTGCAAAATCATGACTAGCCCTCACCCTAATAAGAAGAAAATATGCTATTTAAACTTTCAAACCGCTTTCACAAACAAACCTGCTCCTGAACTGTTCTCCCTATTTGCTAAGCTCCCCCACATGTGAGTGCTCTGCTCTTCACATGGCCTACAGCCTTCACCCCTCTTGTCAAATCTTACTACTATCATGGACTTATCTTCAGCTGCTCCCCCACCCCTTGTTTATTTAGGACTGCTACGTGGCTAGTATTGTACTGGCATGGCTACTATGTGAGACTATCTGGCCGGTGCTAGCATTGCAAAAATACCATCAATGCAAAAGGCCAGAATTTTGGACTGACTGGAACCTTGGAGAATAATAATATCTACCTCTATTGAATATAGCAGGTACACACATTGCTATTTAAACTCAATGACAAACACATCCAACTCAGACACAGTATACACAGAATGACAAACACTGCCACACACTTACAGTATACACACAATACATACACCCCATTCAAACACAGTATACACACAATGACAATCACTTCCACACACACTCAGTCACAATATCAACACAATGACAAACACTGCTAGACACACACTCAGTGACAGTATATACACAATGACAAACACTGCTACACATACACTTAGACACAGTATACACACAATGACAAACATGGCCACACACACTCAGAAACAGTATACATACAATGACAAACACTGCTACACATACATTCAGACACAGTATACACACAATCGCAAACACTGCCACACTCTCATACACAGTATACATACAATGACAAACACTCCCACACACACTCAGGCACAGCATGCACACATTGACATATACACACAGTACACACACTGAAACACATTGCTATACACACACACACATGCGTAGAAAAGGTATACATGCACACTATTACTCATACACAGTGCTGCATGCACATTCAGAAATAGTACACACATTGTAAGCAGTTATTTCGGGATTTAGGGAATTTTCTCTTCCAATGTTTTTTCCCTCTCTTATCTCACTCCTTGTGATGTTACATAACATCTGGTGGTGTCATGACCTGTGATGTCATGCATAATGATATATGTGTGTGCCGGTATTTTTTCTAACAAAGATGGCAACCCTATCTGGATTATTATATTACATTAATGCTAGCTCTCTCTGTTCCCCGCCACATTATTAATATATTAATATTTTCAGAATTCCAAGAAATTATTTACTGCTCTACAATGGGTAACAAAACCAAAAGAAGTAAAAAAAAAAAAGAAACAAATTGTGTAAACTGCATTAGGCGGACAGTAACAAACAACTTCCAATGCAGATATGAGGGAGTGAAGTATAATTTCACAACAGGTAAAATGCAATGTATCAAACGGAAAAGAGAGATTTCTTGGCTGCAATCTGTGTCTAACTCAAGTTTAGAAATGATAGATTGTGAAATGTAAAATAAGAAGGTGAACTCGTTTGACAACAGATGAGAACATGTTATGTGGAAAGACATGGGTAGAAGTGGAAGTGACATACTACTTGGTATGGTAAGCATTCCTAAAGAAACACATTCTCAGTGGTCTGTAACAGTATGATGAGATGAGGGAGGACATTCCTTTAGAATCAGGAGGCCATCGTGTACTTGGTGAGGTGCAGGTGCAAACATCTTCCAACATTGCAAATAGACAAACAGGGACACTTTAATTTAAGGAGTGTGAGTGTGGCCAGGAGTGGGGCTGTTCTGAGAAATTTTAGGTAACTCACTAATAGCAATTTATACAGCTAAAATGTGATTTGGAAAAAGATCAATGTATCTTATTCACACAGAGTGATTTCTAAACACATTTATTGTAGTTTAAAGACACATTACTGCAGAGCTCTGTTATACACTCAGCACAAACCAACCCTATAAAGACAAGAAGGACGGAGGCAAATGGGCCCAAAATAGGGACTGTCCCTCCTAAATAGGGACAACTTGGACCGTATGCAAACATGGCACAAAAAAGGTCATCAATTAGTATTCAATGGCTTACTTACAAATCTAAGAAGGTTTTGATTTAAGTTTATCAAGTGGAGACAATGCAGTTGGTTGGAACTGCTTCCATCTAAAGTTAAAGGATCTCTATAGGGTCAGGAACACTAACATGTATTCCTGACCCTATAGTGTTACCACCACCATCTAGCCCCCCTGGGCCCCTAATGCCTCCATAAATATAGTAAAAATCTTACTGTACTCAAGCTTGAAGCTGTAAATCTGCATTCTGTTAGACTCAGAAAAACAAGCAGTCTGCTGACATGTGGTAGCCTGATCCAATCACATTGCTTACCCATAGGATTGGCTGAGACTGACAAAGAGGCAGATCAGGGGCAGAGCCAGCATGATTCAAACACAGCCCTGGCCTATCAGCATCTCCTCATAGAGATGAATTGAATCAATGAATTTCTATGAGTTAAGTTCAGTGTCTGCACGCAGAGGGAGGAGATACTGAATCACAGGATGCTGTGCACAGTGCTGCCCTGCGCTCTGCTGACAGCAGATCAGAGTGGATGAAGGCATATTATGCCTCCATCAACCCCGAAGTCCCTCTGGTTCACTCTGAGGGACTGCAACTGGAGGTGTTCCTAGCTTTCATTGTAAATACTGTATTTTCTCAGAAAATACAGTGTTTACATGAGAAAGGCTGCAGGGAGCTATAGTTCTCACCTGAACAACCTCATTAAGCTGAAGTTGTTCAGGTGACTATAGTGTCCCTTTAACTTGTTAAAGAATCTTATGAACATATTCACTAAAGGAATAATGGGAACTTAAGGCCAAGGTAGCCGAACTTGATCTTTCCCAAATCAACTACTTCCAGTTGTGCTACTTTGGTCTTTAACTTGAAATTCACTATGAATTTGCGCAATGTACATGTTTTTGCACTGAATGTCCCACTCCCTCTTTGGATTCTAAGCTTGCAAACAAGTACCTCAAAACCTTCTACATCAGTTTGTTTCTATCAAACAGTGTTTTTAATATACAATTTATACAAACACACACATAAAATAATACCTTGCTCAATCTATTTTAGTCAATGTGCAGTGAGTTGTGACACACAGATAACCAATCTACAAAATGTAGGTCAAACTACCCCAGGTGCTAAAAAATTTGCAATCACCCTAATTCTGAGTTGTTGGGGTTTTTTTTGTAACTGGGCTTTTTTGGCCTAAATTCTGAAAGTCACTGGTTAACTCATCACATCCCTTTATGTGTACACGTAACCTCTTTTACAAGAACCGTTTCAGAATAATTTCCATAAAATTTGTTGCAGTGGTTAATTACTGTTTTTTGGGGTTCTTTTTTTTTCCCACTAAATTCTTTGTAAACCTTAAATTTAATTTTTTTCTCACACATATGTTATGGGAGAATATTTTATTAAATTAGGGTATATTACAGTAGGACATGGTACTTCCTCTAAGATGAATAGCCCCAGGAAGGCGATTTCTGTGGGGAGTGTGCATAATTATCAAACTAAGAGTGGTTGCTAAAAGTTGAGGCTTCCCGTGAAGAATTGAGATGAACCATCACTAACAAATGGCTGGCATACCAAAAATTTGCCTTGCTATAGTTAGTAGAGGTTATATGAAAACAAGTTGATTGAAACAATCCTTACTTGGTTCCAGAACCTGGGTTTTAGGATGCAACCATCGCTCAGCGTTGTACATCTGTTCACATCTAAAGCTCATATAGTACATGATGTGTGATGGACTAAGACAGAAGGGATTCAGGTACTGAAATTACAGACAGCTACAAGAATGTGCAATAAAGACGGGAATCGAGAGAAGGCAATAGGAAAGAAATAGAGAGAAAGAAAAATGAAAAACCTTGATGCAGGTTTTATGAGCTTGTTTAGTGATGTTTTATTAATAATCCATTTTCTGGTGACTTTTTGTGGGACCAGTACGGAAGCTGGTCAAAAGACAAGGTTTCTGTTTGATTACCGTCTCACAGGTTTTCTGGGGGAAAGTGTGCAGCAGAACACGCATGTGCACAACCAACCCTCATTTATGAACATGAGAATAAGAAGGCCCTTCAACTTGCTCACGCACTCACTCACTCACACAAATGCGTCTCTTTTTCCTATTTTCATGAATGAGAAGCAGGCAGTGGGTTGAATGCTGCAGTGGGGATCGGTGTAGATCATAATGGCTCTTCAACATATTCTATAAACATCTGCTGCGCAACAGATTTGTGGAATACTGCTACAAAGTGTATCTGGATATTACGGTATAACAGAACTGCATAGCTAATCATTGACAGACTGGGATTGGCTGAGAGGTCTTAATGTATGTGTAACTGCACCCTGAGTATAGGAGGGGTTAAAGCCGTTTAGGATATTCCCTTCCCGAACACAAAGGCAGCTACCGAACACTCCAATCAGCCGAACAAGCAAGCATACGAATAATCCACACTCCAAACAGCCGAACAAGAAAACCATACGAATAATCCCCCCAAGTACAAGACGAGGCTCTGTATTGAGGGTCAAGCAGGAATCTGATTTAATGTGGGCTACATGCCCGCCTTTTATGCCGGTCTTCCACCAAGTGGACACTCCCATAGGAGACCTGGTGGAAAACTGTGAGAAGAATAGTACAGTAGCCAATCACAGTGTTACAGACATAAACACTCCCCTCTAATTGTATAAGACCCTCCTCTCTATCCTGGAGATAATTGGGAAAAAACTCAATCTGAGGATAGAGCCTAACCTCCCTTTTATACAGTGTAACAAAAATGCATAAAAATATATAACTACACAATTCCCCAACAGAATACCCACATTTAACATATCCCCAGATAGCTCGGATCTGAGTGCACAATGTTACCGAATATCGCTCAGATCCTATGCACACAGTTCAATCGCCATGGAGCCAAAGTCTTTCACATAGTCCTTTCGTTATACGAATGGGCTCCATGGGATGGCTATCTGAGGGTGGCTCTGTTCGTATGGAGATGTACCGAATGTCCCGTTGTTCGTATGAGTGGATGAAACAGATGAAGGGAGGTCGGCGGCTTCAGCGGTGTTCGCATTAAATTAGTAGCCGTTTTTGGATCCAGGGAATCGTCGATGAACACCGCTGGGCGTTTGTATGTCCAAAATGGCCGCTGCCTTGTGTTCGTTCATACGAACGACGACCACCCAGCTGACCATTAACAATGGGAAGTGTCTGCGGTTAACCACAATGTTCTAATGAGGCCAAGAGGTTAACAAGCAGCACACTTCCCCGCTGGGTGGCCGGCCGTTCTGTAAGTATTTAGGTAAAAAGGGAAAATAACATATGAACCATACGGACAGGGAAATGCACAAACAAACAGATGAATGAGCATAAAATAAAAGTAATTCCAAGACAGAGGGATCTGTCACAGTATGCTTTTGCATATTTTCTCCAGAATGCATTCAAAATGGGCTCGCACGTCAAGGAGGGACTATCCCCATTAGGTGTCTTTTCTGTCTTTATCCTGTTCCTAGTGTATAAACAAAAAAACAAGAGGAGTACCGCACACATCACAATCTGGGGTTGGCTACCCCTCCTGTGATAGCAAGCTTGAGAAAGATCCCTTGTGGGATCGAAACGTTGCACTTTGTTCCAATAAACCTGCTGAATTAATCCTTGAGTGCCTGACTACAATTTATGTTCATTTATCCTGTTCCTCTGACCAATGCTAGCACCAGGAACTGGCTAAAATGTCAGAGGCAATCCCTTTGTATAGTGGGATTCCTGAGAATGCATGCAAAAAATATATTAAAGGTTTGCCTGCTCATCAAATCCTCATAGTTGGTTGCACAGATGAGTAGAGCATGGTCAGTGCAGCGACTTGTGGCAACTAATGCGCTTGTAAAAAAATAAAACTATTAGAAATTGGCTAAACCTGAACAGATGTGATGCATTTTGACAAATGCAGTGTCTTGCGCATTTTTCAAGTTGCATGTTAGAATCTCTGTATTTACGAATGCGGAAATGTACTGTCCCCTTTAAGAGGGGAGACTACAACTTGCTACAAAGGCAAAATCACATATGCGTAATTTTCATTTTTTCAAGATGTGGGGCTGCCCCTTGTCACTTTACAGACGTATCTTATAGATCTAACTTAATTTGCTTCTTGAAAAAGACCAAGATTGGGGGGGGGGAGGGGGTTTCTAGAGTCATTTGCCAGAGAGAAATTCGCCGAAATATTTTTATCTTTCTCATCCTGCACAGCACACCTTATTTCCTGAATGATAGCCTTTTTACGGTGAAATGTAGATGTGTGGTTAACCATCAATTATGCTTTACTGGCAAACTGTGGTTTATTTTTCCAAACTAGGTAAGGTGACCCTAAATTCAGTACCTAAGTTTGGGACTGCAGTTCTTTAAAAATTAAGTTACAACTGAAGACATTGGCCAAAGAGATCATAAAGGAATTGCTTATTGCTTATAGGAATTCACAGGAATTGACAAAGGCATTGCAAATTCTCACCCATAAATAGTCCGTCCAGGGCTGTCTATATGCATGGGCATGCTAGCCACAAGCATAGGGGCCCCACCGCAATGCTCATGTGCCAAAGACGACAGGGAAGATCCTTTCATCTCTCCCACCGGCCCATGCAGAGTCAGCCTCGCTGTCTGCCCTCTCAGGCTGGTGAGGAGTTAAAGAGGGCCAAAGGCACTTCCCTGCTAGAGAGCTATCTTGGCCTTAGATTTAATTCTTCCTTTAGTAAATATCTTTATAAGATTCTTTAACAAGTTAACTTTAGATGGAAGCAATTTTTAGAAAGCAATTGTACTACAAACCAACCACTACATTTTCTCCATTTGCTAGTAACGAAATAAAAAACCTTCTCAGATTTGTTAGTAAGCCATTAATTACCCATGGCAGTGCTTCAACACAGCGTTCAGCTCATGAGAGGACAAGAGTCAGCCTGCAGCCAGAGGAGCTGCAGGCTAAAGTTCACTGCTAACCACCGGACCACCAGGCAGTTCATTGTCCACCCTGCTTGTCAAAAGGTTATAAGGGTGGGTGTGGGAGGGACATAACATTGTTTTCTCTTTTTAAATAAAAATAATAAAATATATATACATTTGGACCCTTACCACCTACATACACACACACAATATAGACTATATGGAGTCCTCACACACACACTGCACCCATCACACACACATTGCATCACTCTCACACACACTACACCCTTCACACAAACTGCACCCCTTACACACACTGCACCCCTCTCACACACTGCACCCCTCTCACACACTGCATCACTCATACACACTGCATCCCTCACACACACGGCACCCCTCACACACACACTGCCCCCCTCACACACACACTACACCCCTCACACACACACTACACCCCTCACACACACATTGCATCACTCTCACACACACTGAACCCTTCACACAAACTGCACCCCTTACACACACTGCACCCCTCTCACACACTGCACCCCTCTCACACACTGCATCACTCATACACACTGCATCCCTCACACACACGGCACCCCTCACACACACACTGCCCCCCTCACACACACACTACACCCCTCACACACACACTACACCCCTCACACACACTGCACCCCTCTCACACACACTGCATCACTCACACACTGCACCCCTCACACACACACACTGCATCACTCACACACACACTGCATCACTCACACACACACCACCCCTCACACACACTGCACCCTTCACAAACACTATACCCCTCACACACACTGCACCCGTCACACACTACACCCCTCACACACACACTACACCCTTCACACACACTGCACCCCTCACACACACTGCACCCCTCTCCACACACTGCATCACTCATACACTGCATCCCTCACACACACACTGTCCCCTCACACACTGCACCTCACACACACCTGTCCCCTCACACACACGGCACCCCTCACACACACACTGCCCCCTCACACACACACACTACACCCCTCACACACACTGCACCCCTCTCACACACACTGCATCTCACACACACTGCACCCCTCACACACACTGCACCCCTCTTACACACACTACACCCCTCATACACACACTACACCCCTCATACACACACTGCACCCCTCACACACTGCACCCCTCACACACACACACTACACCCCTCACACACACTACATCCCTCACACACACTAGACCCCTCACACACAGTGCCCCCCTCACACACATGGCACCCTTCACACACACGGCACCCCTCAAAAATTCTGGCTAATGACATTCTGGGATTAAGCACTGAGAAACTTGGAAAAATATCCCTGATGTCCCCACAAGTGGAACACCTGGAAACCAAAAATGGAAAACAAGGCAAAATATCCCAATTCTGACTGCTCCAGCAGATCCAATATAATCGGGTGGGATGGATTTATTTGAGTTATCTTTGTGTGAGAAAAAAACATATATGCATTTTGACTTCCTTTGGAACAACAGGATAAAAAGATGTTTTGACACAGTTGTTCTGGAGTCTTTTTTCAACGTATGTTACATAGTTGCATAGTAATCTAATATATGGCTATTGGCAAGCTTCCAGTTAAACCGGAATTATCTATATACTACATATCTGCCTGATACACTTTTTGTCTACAGACAAATCCTATATCATGCAAAATGTAAAGAAAAATCAGTGCAATAAACAGGAGTTGGAAGCTTTAGATTCATGGAGGAATACCCGAGACTGCAATGGTTTCTGTGGAAAGTAGGAATAGCAGTCGGACCTATTCAGTAAAAGGTTCCGAGAGGATGTCTCGCACCACTCTAACCAGTCCTTGCTACATCACAATGTAGACATGAACTGTGAAAAACAACTCTTGACAGTTGAGTTTCTTAAGAAGAGTAGGGGAATTACACTGGAAATGTGTAGCTCTGTAGTGTTGCTGTCAGTTATAGTCAAAAGGTTTTCCACTATATGAACCCTTTCAACTCCAACCTTGGGTATTCTACGAAGAACATTCATTTTGAAACCACAGCTTACCTTTACAAACAATCCCACGAACCTCTGCTCTTCACAGGTTTATGGGATATGCAGTTTGAGGCCCAGTCACAGTTCCATCAAATAGAAATGACAAGTTAACGACTTATAAAAGCTTCATTCATGGAGAGCTGTGAATGGAGCCTCTCAGAGATAGTGAATACTCGCTGTGCAAGTGCTTGAAATGTTGATTTTCCAGTTCTGTATTTTAGGAAGGGAGTAGTTGGAGCAATTTTGGAAATATCTGTTGTAATAAATGAGTAAGTGAAGGGAAGAGGGAACTTCCACTAAATATAATGTATAAAAAGCAACATGCGATGCTACCAGTTTTAGACTGTCACGTTAATTAATACTTTCAATAAAAAACTATAAATTTAGAGCTACTGTTCACTTCATTTTTAGGTACCAGGAAGTAACCAAGTCTTAGGACTGAGGTCTCTTTTTAGGCATTACAGTTGCATTATAGCTTGCTAAAAAGATGCGTGGTTTTCCACAGGCAACAGTGCATGTATTGTATCTAAATGCAGGTACATTTTAAATTTTGTGTGCTGACATTTGGGGAATCTGCACTCCTAAACAAGAAGATGATTTCTTAATATATCCACAAGTTTAACTTTTGGTGTTTTCTTAATTTAAAAAAAAATGGGAGGTTGCAGCTGCACAGATAAAAATTACAAAAAAAAATTTAAAAACATTAGGCTGTGAAATTTAGACAGTTGTCCAGAGAGGCACAAATATAGAACATCAACTATTGTAGCACAACAAACCAAGAATGCTGTGACATACTCAAGGCTGGCAGTGCATTAAGGAAGGTGTAATTCTGCAAAAGTTGACGTTCAATATTTTGCCATTCCTACTCTAGAGAATAAAAGCCGGGCTTGATCTGTTACTGTGTGTGTGGTATATAAAACCACATCTAAATATGTAGATAGTCTTATTTTTTTTTTGCTTAGTTTTCTCAAAACATTAAGTTCAACAAGCGTTTTAAACTCAGGAAATCCACATGCTGGTTTACTCAGGTTCCGCACAACACACATGTCAAAGGATGTGACATTTATGCGTGTGTTTTTTTTTAAGGATACAGAAAAGCATGGTCGGCTGTCACATTGCAGGAAAGCAAAATAAACAAAAAATATTTACACATATCTCCGCATATCCAATGCCCCCGAATGCGCTTTTTACTCGTACTTCCTAAAAAATTTATTTTTTTTAAATAATCTCGGTGCCTGTAACTACACACAACGGCCTCTCAGGAAAAGTTGTTTATTCCCTTGATCAGTGGATCTTAATTGTTGGGTCTAGACCCAAAACTGGGAGATAAAATCCATAAAATCTGTAGTAGCAAAAGTTTCCTACCCCTGATCTTACCCAACATAGCTGATTTATTGCAAACATCTAATTGGCCAGATTTGTGGAAAAAAAGCTAGGAGAATTTGCACTAAAATACGATGTGACAATACCAAGTAGACCCAAGAAATCCTGGGTATTAGTTTCTAAATTTGGATTACAAGTTAAGTTTCCCGAATGTCATAAAGATTTTTTTTAAATCATTTAAAGGAACACTATATTGTTAGGAATACAAATGTGTATTCCTAACACTGTAGAGAACAAGTCACCATTTAGGTGACCGTGCCCCAGCTACCAGCATTAAAAAGGTAGTTTTACTTAACTTTTCTCCCTCACAGCGCTGGTCTACGGTGTGTAGCTCCTCCTCTTTGACTGAGATCACCAAAAACGATGATCTCAGACAAATTTCTGTGTGAAGCAATTTCAGATAGTGAACTCTTTTCTTTGTTTCCTATTAAGGGTTAATAATTATGTAGGGGTTTAGAAAACTACCCCTATCTGTCTCAGAGCTGTTTTACCTGAAGCTGAAAAAAGCACGGTGAAGTGTTAGTGTAGGACCCACCTAAGAGGTTTACCTTAACGTGGCAGGTGAGCTTATACTTATGTGGCCAATAGAGACACTAAAAACCTCCAGTTTTTTAAATGTGCCTGGAGATTTGCGATAGTGCGCAAGTAGCTCTTTTCTTTGGTTTTCATTCCACAGATTGCCCCAGACAGGGTTGTTAGCGTAAACCGACAGCTAAATAGCAGTCTATATTGTTTGCAATGACAGTTCTACCAGGGGTAATCACTAAAATTAGAAATCAAAGTGAATTTCTAATTTAAGGCCAAGGTTGCCGAACAGGAAGCATACCTGACTTAGAAAATGACTCTAGTTGGACTATTTTGACCTTGGATTTGAAATTTACTTGGAATTCTCACTTTAGTAACTGCACTGAAATTAAAATAAATGCAAGTCAGCAATGCTTGCTATTAACTGTATACATTAGCAGTCATTGTAATTAAACCAAAGAAAACATAATGTGCAGGATGTGGGATATATATATATATACACAAGTTATATATAAACTATCAGTTTGGGGTATGTGAGTAGGATGATTTAAAATAATGTTATTTAAAATACATTTACTATGTTTCTTATGTTTCAGATTACTAAATGTGATAGATCTGTTTATTGAACTCAACCTCAATCACAATACTATCATTACTATAATGAGTAATGAAGTATAAAGGCCGTCTCTTCTACAGTGCATGTGCTTATATGAGACCAGGTGAGTCTGAAAATTTGGTGAGGCCATCAAAGTGAACTACACTATCTAAAAAAATGGCTATATGTCCCATGATGGCATTATAAGACCCAAATAATTGAGCTAATGGTTTTGAAGTGACCCAGATATGTTGATATTAGCATATACTAAATTGTAGTAAATTTTGGTGCAAATATATATTATGAGACAAGATGGTAAGAAAAATGACACTGTACCTGTGATAAGACATCAGCCTCTGACCCTGAGGTATTGTGTGCACTCCTGTGTAAGGAGCCAGAGGCTGAAGGTGACTTTTCTGACATGATGCCTAACTATGGTCCTCAGTAGCAGGGAAGTCACATGAGGAAAGCCGATTGGACAGCAGCAGCAGCAGCGTATGGGAGCAGATAAATCGAACTCCCGTGTGATAGGATAGGATGGATTCTCCAGGTATAGTGTCAATGGGATGAAACGTTGGTTCTTCAGTTAGAACGTTCTCTCAACCTTTAAAGCGTTCGGAGTCCGAGATAGACTAAAGCAGATGTCAGGTCTCAGGAGATCTGGAACTGATGGATTCTACAGATATAGTGTCAATAAATGGAACGTTGGTTCTTCAATTAGAACGTTCCCTCAACCTTTAGAACGTTCGCAGTCCGATCTGGAATGTAGCAGGTGTCTCAGGTGCTCTGGAACTGATATTGGATGGAGAGGTGTGATTTTGTACCCAAGCTATAGCCACGCTGTGCTGAAATGAAAACTGAGAAGGAGGTGCAACATTGGGTGCACCCTATATCGTCCTGGGGGCGTGGAGCGTACGATCACGGGCTAGACACCTTGGGCTGGACGTGCTGGTCCAGGTGATGTAGAGTGAGAAGTTCCTAAGAACACTGTCGGCTTTATCTGCCTCACTGCTTCTTGGAATGGTCCATGCTGCTCATTTCAAGTAAGTCACGTGCAAATAGGAGGAAACTTGCAGAAAAAAAAACCACAGTAAAAAAAAAAAATTCTGGTGACTAGGGAACTGAGAACGCTTTACTGCTAATGGCTGTCACTAGAATATTAGCTGTAACACTTCAAATTCTCAACTTTATAACACTAACCAACGAAACTGATCCATTTACCTATTTTATGTTCATGTAAATGGATAGAGACTGACTGAGTTCAGTGTTAACTTTTTAAAAATTATTATTATTTTTGTGTTTTATTTATAGACTTCATTCATTTATTTATTCGTTTTTAATTTATATATTTATAGAGTAAGGGATAGGCATAACTTTTGTACCCCCATAAAATAAACGAGTAAATAAAGAAATACACAATTATTATTATTATTTTATACTGTAAATGTATTTATTGTGATGGGATTTGGAGCTGAGTTCCAAGTCTGCTTTATTAAGGGTAAGCAGCTCATTGGTTTGTGCTCCCCTCCCCTCTGTCCATTAAAGGGTTAAAGCACGCTGTATGAAGCCATTATCCTACTGATGATTGTTGCATGTCTTACTGTTTATATTTTTCCTGTATTAGAATATTAGCACAGTGAGAAGATTGTTCTGTGGTTGGCATGTTGGTTACCCATACAAACAATGTTGTGTTGGGTTTTGTGGTTTGTTAAGGTTTATGGGGAGTTGGGTTTTGCCAAAATACAGTAAATGTTTAATAATTGCTTTAAAAAGGAAGGGGAAGTACTGAGAGAACAGTAACTGTTTCGTTGCCAGTGACTCAGAACAGATAATGACCTAATCCCTTATTGACAGTTGAATTGTCAGGACTTTTCATGTCAAATAAAGGGATAACCCGGTGAGCTGTAAGTGACATTTTATGGAGGATATTTGTTCATTTATTAAACGTTTATTATAGGAATATGATACCATCATAAATACATCACGACATTGAAGAGACTGAGTGGTTGATTAAGGTCACTCTAAGATTGCTTAGGGGTTAATGGTTAGAGTTTGTATGGGGTTAAGGGCTAGTGTTAGGGTAGCGTATAGGGGTTAACGTTTAGTGCTAGTGTAGGGTAGTTTTAATCATTGTAATGTAGTGGATTAATGTGTAGTGACAGTGTAATGTAGTGGGTTAGTGTGTAGTGATAGTGTACAGGGAGTGCAGAATTATTAGGCAAGTTGTATTTTTGAGGATTAATTTTATTATTGAACAACAACCATGTTCTCAATGAACCCAAAAAACTCATTAATATCAAAGCTGAATATATTTGGAAGTAGTTTTTAGTTTGTTTTTAGTTTTAGCTATGTTAGGGGGATATCTGTGTGCAGGTGACTATTACTGTGCATAATTATTAGGCAACTTAACAAAAAACAAATATATACCCATTTCAATTATTTATTATTACCAGTGAAACCAATATAACATCTCGACATTCACAAATATACATTTCTGACATTCAAAAACAAAACAAAAACAAATCAGTGACCAATATAGCCACCTTTCTTTGCAAGGACACTCAAAAACCTGCCATCCATGGATTCTGTCAGTGTTTTGATCTGTTCACCATCAACATTGTGTGCAGCAGCAACCACAGCCTCCCAGACACTGTTCAGAGAGGTGTACTGTTTTCCCTTCTTGTAAATCTCACATTTGATGATGGACCACAGGTTCTCAATGGGGTTCAGATCAGGTGAACAAGGAGGCCATGTCATTAGATTTTTCTTCTTTTATACCCTTTCTTGCCAGCCACGCTGTGGAGTACTTGGACGCGTGTGATGGAGCATTGTCCTGCATGAAAATCATGTTTTTCTTGAAGGATACAGACTTCTTCCTGTACCACTGCTTGAAGAAGGTGTCTTCCAGGAACTGGCAGTAGGACTGGGAGTTGAGCTTGACTCCATCCTCAACCCGAAAAGGCCCCACAAGCTCATCTTTGATGATACCAGCCCAAACCAGTACTCCACCTCCACCTTGCTGGCGTCTGAGTCGGACTGGAGCTCTCTGCCCTTTACCAATCCAGCCCCGGGCCCATCCATCTGGCCCATCAAGACTCACTCTCATTTCATCAGTCCATAAAACCTTAGAAAAATCAGTCTTGAGATATTTCTTGGCCCAGTCTTGGCGTTTCAGCTTGTGTGTCTTGTTCAGTGGTGGTCGTCTTTCAGCCTTTCTTACCTTGGCCATGTCTCTGAGTATTGCACACCTTGTGCTTTTAGGCACTCCAGTGATGTTGCAGCTCTGAAATATGGCCAAACTGGTGGCAAGTGGCATCGTGGCAGCTGCACGCTTGACTTTTCTCAGTTCATAGGCAGTTATTTTGCGCCTTGGTTTTTCCACACGCTTTTTGCGACCCTGTTGACTATTTTGAATGAAACGCTTGATTGTTCGATGATCACGCTTCAGAAGCTTTGCAATTTTAAGAGTGCTGCATCCCTCTGCAAGATATCTCACTATTTTTGACTTTTCTGAGCCTGTCAAGTCCTTCTTTTGACCCATTTTACCAAAGGAAAGGAAGTTGCCTAATAATTATGCACACCTGATATAGGGTGTTGATGTCATTAGACCACACCCCTTCTCATTACAGAGATGCACATCACCTAATATGCTTAATTGGTAGTAGGCTTTCGAGCCTATACAGCTTGGAGTAAGACAACATGCATAAAGAGGATGATGTGGTCAAAATACTCATTTGCCTAATAATTCTGCACTCCCTGTAATGTAGTGGATTAATATGTAGTGACAGTGTAATGTAGTGGATTCATGTGTAGTGACAGTGTAATGTGGTGGGTTAGTGTGTAGTGATAGTGTAATGTAGTGGATTAATGTGTAGTGACAGTGTAATGCGGTGGGTTAGTGTGTAGTGATAGTGTAATGTAGTGGGTTAGTGTGTAGTGATAGTGTAATGTAGTGGATTCATGTGTAGTGACAGTGTAATGCGGTGGGTTAGTGTGTAGTGATAGTGTAATGTAGTGGATTAATGTGTAGTGACAGTGTAATGTGGTGGATTAAAATGTGTAGTGACAGTGTAATGTAGTGGGTTAGTGTGTAGTGATAGTGTAATGTAGTGGATTAATGTGTAGTGACAGTGTAATGTAGTGGGTTAGTGTGTAGTGACAGTGTAATGCAGTGGATTAATGTGTAGTGACAGTGTAATGTAGTGGATTAATGTGTAGTGACAGTGTAATGTGGTGGGTTAGTGTGTAGTGATAGTGTAATGTAGTGGGTTAGTGTGTAGTGACAGTGTAATGTAGTGGGTTAGTGTGTAGTGATAGTGTAATGTAGTGGATTAATGTGTAGTGACAGTGTAATGTAGTGGGTTAGTGTGTAGTGATAGTGCAATGTCGTGGATTCATGTGTAGTGACAGTGTAATGTAGTGGGTTAGTGTGTAGTGACAGTGTAATGTAGTGGATTAATGTGTAGTGACAGTGTAATGTAGTGGGTTAGTCTTTAGTGACAGTGTAATGTAGTGGGTTAGTGTGTAGTGATAATGTAATGCAGGATGTGTGCAGTGGTTCCCAAACTTTTTAGGTTGAAGGCACCTTTAATGTTTTAATTTTTTTTCAAGGCGCCAAAAGTCAAAACATTTTCTCGGTTGTATATATGTACAGCGCTGCAGCATATACTGGGCCCCTGTTCGGCAGAAATGCTTGCCTTTCAAGTGCAAATCCAGAACTTAATTTTGGGAGGGGCACTGGTAGATTATTTAAAGAAACAATCCAAGCACAATAACCACTACAGCACTTTCTAGTGGTTATGGTGCCAGCAGTGCCCTCCCAGAGTAAGTAGTCAAACTGTTTAAGAACAGTTTGACAACTTACCGGGTATCTGCCGGGATAGGGGCTGTAGTAGGGGATAGGGGCAGTACTGAGTGCGAGGGGTGCAGTGTGCGTGCGAGGGGTGCAGTATGTGTGTATGGGGGGCAGTGTGTGTATGGGGGCAGTGTGTGTGTATGGGGGATGGCAGTGTGTGTATGGGGGGCAGTGTGTGTATGGGGGCAGTGTTTGTATGGTGGGCAGTGTGTGTGTATGGGGGCAGTGTTTTGTATGGGTAGGTGTATGGGGGCGAGGTGTGTTGTATGGGGGCAGGGAATGTTTGTATAGGGGGCTGTGTGTGTGTGTATGGGGGCAGTGTGTGTGTGTATAGAGGGCAGTGTGTGTATGGGGGATGGCAGTGTGTGTGTATAGGGGCAGTGTGTGTATGGGGGCAATGTGTGTGTATGGGGGGCATTGTGTGTGTATAGGGGCAGTGTGTGTGTATGAGGGGCAGTGTGTGTGTATAGGGGCAGTGTGAGTGTATGGGGCAGTGTGTGTGTATGGGGCAGTGTCCATGTGTATGTGTGTATAGGGGCAGTGTGTATGTATAGGGGTAGTGTGTGTGTATATGGTGCAGTGTGTGTGAATAGGGTCAGTTTGTGTGTATGGGGGCAGTGTGTGTGTGTATAGGGGGGCAGTGTATTTGTGGGTCAGTATTTGTGTGTTACATTTGCAGTGTGTGGGTGTGTGAGGATTGCAGTGTATGTGTGAGTGTGGGGCAATGTGTGTGTATGGGGGGCAGTGTATGTGTAGGGCAATGTGTGTATGGGGGCGGTGTGTGTGTATGGTGTAGTGTCTGTATGGTGGGCAGTGTGTGTATGGGGAGCAGTGTGTGTGTATAGGGGAGCAGTGTCTGTATGGTGGGCAGTGTGTGTATGTGAAGCAGTGTGTGTGTATGGGGGAGCAGTGAGTCTGTATGGTGTGCAGTGGGCATATGGGGGGCAGTGTGTGTGTGTGTATGGAGGGCAGTGTGTATATGGGGGCGGTGTGTGTGTATGGGGGGCAGTGTGTATATGAGTGGTGTGTGTATATGGGGAGTT